CTGGCAATCTTTAACAGCCTTTAACCCATCCAACACATTGGCATCCATCCTTGCCATGGCAAATTATGGACCTAAAGACGTTTGGCACCATAGCTCGCCTGTCCCGCACTATAGGCTTATCAGACGGAAATTGTTTATCGCCTCTAGTAACGGCAACAATCGTAAGGTTTAACCTTCACTTTTTAAAAGTTTTAAAATGATGACAAAATAAAAGCTTTTAGGTGCCTAACGTCCGCAAACTAATGAACGAGCCAGTTGCAAACAGAGGAGCTGCCGATCAGCGCCAACAATCCCGTCTGTGTGGCCACTAGCCAAAAAGACATTTCCATTGTGAATGGGGGTTGGTGCTGAAAAGTTTGACTCAGAAGAGAGTTGTAATGTACTAGGCATTTTAAAACACCATGTTGCTAGGTTTACAATGCTATGTCTTAAGGGTGAATATCTGTAAATGATGTTATATTCAAACATATAACAGGTTCAGCTATTTTTTGTCACATTTTGGCATTCTGAGATAGTTTTTCAAATACTTTTCTATTTATTTATCTTTGATAAATGACTTTTGCTCTTATCAGAACTACTGTAGAAATCATAAATATATCCAGTCACAAAATGCAGTGTAATAGACTCTAGCATTAAAAAAAGTGAGCTCACATTTGAATTTTCACAATTTAAACAGAAGCTTATATCTACATTGATGGTCACAATGTATGCTAAACAGTTATGATGGTTCACATTTTAAAAGGGAATGGCTGCATATTTGGTAATTTGAATTGGAAGGTAATGAAAATAGCACATGCTTTATCCAAGGGTTTATAAAAGGATACAGTGGAATGCAGGAAGCCTATTTATAATGATTGAAACTTGGTCATGTTCAAAAAGTTGGTGAAGTGTTTTTTGTTAACTTTTGAGGAAATTTAAATAATGTGCTAAAATGTGAAGTATTGTGTAAAATCTAAATTATTTTTGGTTTATCTTTATTGTTATCATTTGCATTGACTGATCCATAAACAAAATTTTTCAGCTATTGCAAAGATTTGTTAGCATTTATTATACAGGGTTAGTGCAATTCAATAATTATTTACTATTTAAGGTCAGTAGCTTATTAGATAATGTATATATATACTTATTGCATAGGCATAATACTTGATGCTTTAATATACAAGATCAAAAAAAAAAAAAAAAAAAAAAAAAATGCAGGTCCCTGCTTTTTTGTACAAATTAGTAGAAAGAGCTTTATGCCTCACATGTCTTTGGTGAGTTATATATTTCCTTTAAGCAGTAACTGTTGTATAAGTAAGGGGACATTGTGATATTTATTGAGCCAAAAGTGAAATACCTTAAATTGTTGTGTAGATTTATATACATATATATGATATTTCCCTTCAGATATCATCTTTGACATGGTCATACACCACAACTTCTGTTGCTTTCAGAAATATGATCAACATAAAGTTGTGTTGTTGTTGGAAATCTTGTGTGGGAAACTAAAATAAAGAAAATGTAGAAATTATCACTGGTCTACACCATACATATGTTGAGTTTAGTAACTGTAGTGTTTGTAAAAGATAAATCATAAATCATGTTTTTTACCCAATGATGCCGAGCTGTCTGTAGCCCTTGGTGGACTGTATTCCAGGGATGCAATAATTCTTGCAGGCTGCTGTGCCTCTGCTGACTGCTTGCATCATGCATGGTTGGTCATATAGCCATTTACTCTTCTTTATTTCTGTGTTTCTTTTGTTGGTGCTTCAACTCTTACATATGATTTTGCATCTTATCATTTATAGCCATGTATAAAAGCTATTTTTGCAATCATATATATATTTTTGTTGATTCATAGAACCTCATTGAAGAAATTGTATAATTGAGTTATCTGTCTATTAAGACTGTAGGTTTGTGTGAAAAGAAAAAAAATTAGGGGTTTACTATATTTCCATAATTTTGTTCAAAACAGAAAAATGATAGTGGTTAATTCTTTACAGTACAGACACACTTGCCAGAGACTAAATCCCCAACTCCACTTCACAAACTTTATTCAACATTTTAAGTTGCTACGACTGTGCGTTCCCTTCGGGTATTGCTCAAGGGGAGATTTGATCGAGGGCTCTTTCTGCAATACTTTCCTTTAGTTGTGCCATTATTGTTAATGTCTACAGATCATTTCTTATAGCGATGACTTCAACATTTTGCCCTCTACAAGAATATCCTCTTCAGTTTGCCCTAGCTGAGTATGTTCATACCAAAAAGATTGATCTGATACTGTTTTTATATTCTTCATAAATAAATATGTAGAAAAAAGGAAAAAATTAAGAGGAAGAAGCCATTGATTAGCCTCCTTGAGCAACAGATGGAGATCCACCATTTCTGAATGCACATGCTTATGCACACATGCTTATGCGCACACACACACGCACTCACAAATGTACATGCACATGAATGCACACACACACACGCACATGCACGCATGCACGCACACACCACACACCACACACACACACACACACACACACACACACACACACACACACACACACACACGCACACGCACACGCACACGCACACACAGAAAGAGGCATATACATACATGTGCACATGCATACACACGCATATGCACGTGCACATGCACACGAATATGCATATGCACACGCATACACATACGCCATACCACACCACAATAGAGTGAGTGAGTGAGTGACCAACTGACTTTGTGAGTAACTGAGTGGAGTGATTGACTGTCTGATGAAGTGGATCTCCAACTGCATCAAAGTCAAACTTGAATTCAGATTTCTCACTGCTGCTTTCTTCTGTCAACAAGTCCTCATTGGTTACAGTAGGATTATCCTGTTGTCTCTGTGGCACAATCATAATATTATCAATGTCCTCACTAGAGAACAGTTCATAGAAATGATGCATTGGAGCATAGGGACTGACAGATCCGTTAGGTGGTGAAAAGCTGTTGGCTGCAGTCTAGGGTGAGAGCAGCAACACAAGTAGTGGAAATGTACCAGTTAGAAAGCTGAGGAGGAACTATGGTTAAGGTGAGAAAGAGAGCTAAAATGATTGTCCTGCTGTGCACCCTGTAGTGTAAGCAGGAGAAGTTAATATTATAGCATAAACATCAAATGATGGTTGCATGCATAAAACTATCATGTTCTTGTAAAATGCAGTTTTTGAAGGTAGTTTTAAAAATTATCATCATCATTATAATCCAGCATTTACATTGCCAAATAACATGAAGTAATCACCGAAGCCAGTAGGAATTATTTTTGTGAAACACCCAACAGTGCAATCTAGTGTCAGTGGGTTAAAGACTTGATGATATCTCTGTACTAATACTAATCTGGAATGGAATAGGGATATTTAATCAAAACTAAAAAGTAATAATATTCAAACTTGTAGGACAAAATGTTTAAAATTGTATACTGTCTTAGTTTTCTCTATGAAAAAAAAATTGTATAATTCTGCAAAATATTGAGAGCTTTATCAGTTCCACCATTATCTTTTTAGTGCCATATGGTCCATGTTGCTAGGAGCTGTAAGGTATTCATCTACTATTTGTTATCTTTTTTGTAGTTGTCCCCTTAGTGTACAGCTTTTACTCTACTTCAACATCTCTTTCCTGATAAAGACAAAACAGTAGTCAAGACAAACATACATTGGTAGAATTCCTTACTAGAGAGCCAGGAGAAGGCAAACCATGCTTACATATCTAGTCTCATGTATTTATTAGAAGCATACATTACTAGAAATAATTAGATTTTTTTAAAAAAGAAAGCTATTTATAACTTAATCTACATGTACTGGAGCTTCTCCTTTGCAAGTATTAGTCATAAGTAGCTTGACTTGGGGTGGGACAACAAGCATCGTGCTTTCAGATTTTGAAGGTTGAATACACTGTAGGTAGTTTTTGTACTATAAAATGGATGTTCAGATTATAGTTAATTTGATCACTTGCAACATTATTTTTAGTGCAGTGTAATTCCCTCTACCTATTGTTGCAAGTGATTAAAAAGTATTAGTAGTTATTACAGTAGACCAAAAAAATTAAACACGAAGTAAAATATGTATCATTAAACCCAGAGATTAATTGTAAGTGCAGGAGTGCAAGGATATATCTTATTTTATGGTTTGCACTTTTAAAGCAGGACTTCCATCTAATTGGCATTGTTAATGTTTTTTGAAATCCAAATTTTTTATTTACCATGAGGCTAATTATCTGTTGTATATAAATGGACTTAATTTTATTAGTTCATTTTTAAAAGAAAACCTGTCTTGAATTATTAAAATAAGTAGACAGGAGTAGATAGTTTACCTTTCCTAGTATTGTGTACATTCCCAAATACAGTAAGGAAAATCTCTATTGTCTCTTTCTTGGATCAACTAAATTACATACACTTCATAAGAGAGTGATGTACTTGAGTATGGAAGGGACCAACAAGAGTAGATATTTGAGATACCTTAAAGGCATTTGCTTTTCAGTGTTGTCAAGCACTGTATTGAATGAAAGTTTAGAGATTTTATTTAAAAGTTTAATGATACAATGTTCATTAGGCAAAACAAAGAACAATTTTTAATTCAGAAATGAAAATTAGCATGCATTGTAGGTATTAGGTCATGTACATGTGAGCTAATGCTTGAAATATGTTTATTTGTGATTGGGAACCTCAGATGAAATTATCTTCAGATTTTGCAGCTTTGTTGGTTATTTAAGTTTTCCTTAGTAGTGATTATTAGAGATAGCCATGAAAAGTGTCAGTTGTATTTATTGATTCAAAGTGAAAAAAATATTTGCATGAAGCAACCAGAGAACAAGAGCACATTCTTAAGTATGCATCATTTATTCCAGTATGCATCTCCCATAATCATTCATGTATATATATATTATATTATCAATATAGGTTGTCAGTTGCATTTGGAAACTACTTTTGATTTTCCTATTGTTTCAAGCTTTACATTTTTATTTTTGTGTGATATTTCATTATAATCTGTAATGTACTTCAAAGACTCAAAATAAGCATAACATTTCTTATTGCATACTTTCAGTGACAGAATCATAACTTTGTACAATTCTGCATGAGAAGTTTCATAAATATAATACACACATTATGTAGATTTGCCCACCAATATGTATTTGGCTATCACCTTGGTCTTTATCACTGTTTGTTGGTGCATTATGAGGTACAAACTTTAATCATATCTGTTAAAATTGCTGTGTTATGTCGTCTTTTGTTATATTGAAATTGTACTTTCATACAATTACTTATTCTATTTTATAACAGTTACAAAGACTTCTCTTTTAGAACCCAGTTGATGAAGAAATTTGTTGAAGTCTTCAGAGGAGGTCTTGTCTATATATTGGTATGCAGATGACACATGAATTGTATACTGCATTTGGAGGGAAGACCATTTTTTAAGTCTTGTAAGTCTGTATTCCATTGAATTTTAAAGTAATTTGTTCTTAATAGCAGCAGTATTGGACATGGTTATATAAAAATGTTAAGACAGGTGTTGGCTGTATGTACTCAATGATACTCCTCAATGACTTGGATAGACTGAGGCTTGAGTCTCATGAGAGTTCGCACATGTCACTTTCACTATGGTTGCTCTCTCTTGTTTTCTGATGGGAGTGCATTTTGTACCATGTTAAATGCAGGATATTGAAAGTATAATTATCTTGTCATGTACATCTGTACTGTTTCCAGTAATGTAGAAAAATCAGTGAATTTTTTTTGCATAGATTAAAGAAAGCAAAAAATGTAATTGGCATGAAACTCTTAAAAATACCATTTGAAAATGTAATACTAAAAGGGATGTGGGAGGGATTTAAGTATTTAAAAGCAGTATTAACAATGTATTGCAATGCTTTTTTGTGAATATTGTAGATAATTTCATGTACAGTAATGAGATATGGAAGTAAAATATTATTAAAACCTTTGTATTTTATTTAATAATCCAACTATTATTTTACATTGTTCACCTGTTAGCTGAAGTAGAAAAAAAATAAATAACAGAATATTATTATTCAAAAGAAATCCAAGTTCATTTTCAATAGGAAGTTTCCATCTTTGGAGAGGAAAAATGGTAAACATGATCAAAAAAGTGATAATAAAAGAGCTTATCAAGAAACAAATTTTATTTTTTACAAATAAAACTGTAGTAATATCTGTGTAAGTGGAATAAGAAGTATATCAAAACTATATGTAACACACCTGACTTGTGGTAATGTGTCTTTGGTGCTTGAGTACTTTTTTATTATTGACCTTAAACCCCTTAAACCCCATTATACATACTGTACATAAAAATACCATCACTGGTGGACTTGAATTTTCATATCAAATATCTGTGTACCTATACTACACAAATTAGATTTTTAATTTGAAATTGTCCAAATATTCTGAAGATGTTGGCCTGTTAACAAAACTGAAAAGTATAATTAATTAACCTAAATATTTGCCGTAAAAAGTTTCCACAAATGCTCTATCTTAACTGAATTATTATGAATATATTGTTCCTCATTTCATGATTTTATTCTGCAGAGAAAAATCTAAAGATTAACTAGGGTTTTACTTTTAGTATGTTGGTAATAACCAGAATACCTATTATGAAGATACATTACTGACCTTTTTTCACTCAGGATTAGTATTTAATAAATTGAATATTTGGTTGGGAAAAGCATGGTTACTGTTCTGATGCTTAACAAAATAACTTATTTATGGAAAATAAAACATATAATACTGTATTTACACCCAAATGTCTGACTTATAAACATTTAATTCAAAGAAAGCTTAAATATGAATTTGCTCAAAATTATAACACTGAAAGATTTCAATTCATAGCAATGTTAGATTATTACCTTACAAAAAAGGTTATAGCTTTCTCTAATTCTAGATAGGCAAATTTAGTATCCTCTGAAATTCAATTATATTTCTTTTTAGTGATAATAAAAGTAGAATGCATTTTTTCTTTACACTGCTATTACAAATAAAAAAAGAACTATGAATTTTAACAAGAAAATGAAATAAAAAAAGTCTCAATCACAGCACCACATAAAACTAGTATTCTTGAAAATGGATTCATATATTCTTTTATTATGAAGCAAAGGAATGACTGCAAAAGAACATTATGTTTTATCTAGTTTCAGTGAAATTACTCTATGGTACACCACCATAGGATTTTATGACTACAGGTGGCTCATGTGGCACTGCTCAGACTGTTAAGACTGATGCATCACCATATGTACCACCCATGGCACAAAACTTTATTGGTCATATATACAATGTTTGAGGAGTACGACAAACATCCAGATTCTCACTCTGCTGCACTGACCTTTGCCACTGCGGAAACATCATGGAACCATGGGATCAGTAAATGTATTAACCTTTTCAGAATGGAAGCTCCCAATGCCATACCTAATCACATACTGGAGTATGTAGCTTGATGAAAAAATTAAAAGTGCAGGAGCATAGATTTACCTTGTTTTACATATTTTTAGGAGTGGCA